GGTACGTGGGTGGATGAAATACCGCGATGGACGACACTTGCTAAACGCGAGGGCACTCGCAAAGTCAACGTGGACCTATGTACTACGGGACCTCGCGACTCCCATGGCGTACTGATACGTCAACCTACGGCAATAATGGCCCACGACCGTTCATTCTTTACTGACACAATGTGGCAGCAAACGGTGCACTGGCCACCATCAACATGCTTCAGTTTGCAACAGGGAATTGGCCAGGGCAGCACCATGTACGCCGAAGGTGCGATCCGTCGTCGTCGAGGCAGTCCAAATTGCACATGACAGATTTGCCGTGAACCGCGATCCCTTTCATAATGATCCTCATGCATAATCTTTCCTTGTCACCAATGCGCGCGGGTTTGACTTGGATGACCCGGCGATCATTAGGCATCCTGACAGACGTATCGCGCAATCGCCATCAGGGGGATGGGGATGTCTTGCACGCGCCGACCATAAGTTCCTGAGGCGCCAGCCGCCAAACAGGTTGCGCGGCCACTTGCTCCGGAGCCCGGCTTCAGAGCTAGACCGATTGCAGACGCCAGCAGCCGCGACATCGCAGCGCGCAGAAATGCGGCGGAGCCAAGCGGCGCCGGCAGCTCGGACGACCGCAGACGACACCCCACAGGCAGCAGCCAGACGTGGACGACAGCAGGGAGGTGATCCACCTCCACAGCCTCCCGCGGGCGACCCTGCGGCACGTCCGAGACTGCCAGACTGGTCAAGATTTGACGTGCAGATCAGTCTACAGAACCTGCGCAGCTTCGGCCCAAGCGTGGCAGCGCGCGAGCTACGGAAACTACATTTTCGATGGCCCCACGCTAAGGAGCCTAAGACGAGACTCATTTTAACCAAGGCTGGTCTGGATAGTGCGCGGCTGAACCCGATAAATGGCGTCTGCGATACACGCCAGGAGTGTAGGGCCTTGGACAAGGCTGGGCAGATTATAATTTCATCCACCTCGCTACTTGGCAAGTCCAACGATGAAGTCTTTTGCGACTTAATGTTTTAGAACAGGAACATCAGGTATTTCACCGAATCGATCGCAGCATTCGATACGGTGCTGCAATTGAGACCAGACAAAACTATGACAAGCATCCTAGACGCGCACCATCAGTGCTGGATGTAATTCGGGCCTGCCAAAGCACTACTCCGAAGGATGAGGTGCTTTCAATAACGGCACCGCGAAGGTAGTCCGTAAGGCAGAGGGCACGGAGTTGAGAATGCGCGCGCGTGGACAACGCCCCGCTACCATTGCAGCCAGAAGCGGCATATTACGACACCTGCTTCACGCCATGGAGGCTGAACTCGACGGGTTAGACATTCCACTTGTGTTCGCCCGATTGCTGCATGAAGCTTCGTTTGCCAGCAGTGCGTTGACCTTCTACAACGAAGTATCACCGTATAGCGCATTATTCGGCCGACAACCCGCCACGCTTCCCGACCCGCCTGTTCTAGACCACGAACAACAGTCCGATAGCAGCTGGAAAATAGATTATCCGTTGCGTAAGCATTGGTGCCATCACGCAAGCCACAGCCGCTGCAAAGCCGAACCGCGCACTATTAACCAAGACGACCATCGCTGGTCAGCATTACTACAACGAAGGTGATCTCGTTGATTACCATCGCCCCACAACCACGAAAGACGACTGGGGTGGCTGGAATGGACCATTCCCGGTCGTGCGAAACGATCCCGACAGGGGTCAAGGCATCGCGCGAGCTGGGAATCGCGACGCACAAGTGCAGCACGGTGACGCAAGACACTCGCTCTATATTTAAGATCCGATCACTCGAGAAATTGGCTCGGACAACACAGCCTTGCGGACTGCGTTGGCCTCCATAGCAAGGGGGGGCCTGTCATAACCTTTGGTTATTTCCCGACCAGAAAGGGAGGGCTCCAGATGACAAGTGCAAACCTGTTATCTCCGACTATACACTTAGCTTACCAGCATCTTGTCAGAAACTTCTTACACATGGGAAATGTTGTTTCTGCTAAGTTAGCTAAGAGCATCCACGAGCTACCCCTGGTAACTTATGCTGAGAGTTGTGCGTTGGTGCATTCTGACAACGGCGTGAACCCAGGTTTCTACTACTACGAAGCTGAAGGCACTGCTCTAAGCATCCAATATTGCCGGGTTAGCACACTCGAGAATCATCAATGCCTGAAGTCCACAAAACCACAAGCGGGCTTCGATCAAGACAATGACAAATTTCGAAGAAATGGCAGACATGCCGACACAAAGCTGCAATGCCAGAGAGGCCCCATAAGCCGAATCGCCACAGGAGGATGGTCGGTCTTCCACAATTTATGAGGAACCAGAGGCGGACCTCGAGGCACATATTATGTAGGTGCGGTACGCAGAGCTACAAGGCCGAAGAGAACGATTGGAAGCAGATCCAGTAGAAGAGCTCTATACCATACCCACACATATAATTTCTGACAGCTGCGCGCTGGCAAGAGCTGCTGACGAACCGCAGGGGCACTCGCCTACGTGGGTAACCCACAGAGTACGCACTAACACAGCCGAGACATCATGTCCCGCTGTGCCTTTCGGGCGACGATGACAGTTATGGGCTAGACTCCGACGAACACGGACACGATGTGGAGTTCTGCTTTACGGCAGAGATGTCGAGGGTAGTCCTATCCGAACAACAACACGGGAAACTGGACGTCGACCGCGCTGCCACGATGCGAGTACACGCGCCCGCTGCAGCTAAACGAGCTGCGATCGTCAAGGAGGACGACCATCTCACGCAGGCAGATATCCAGGCGAACCCAGTCAAGATAGCAAAGTCCCTACACACTGAACTCATGACATGGTTTGACAACGAGCGCTTCCAGATGCAAGGCATATCCAAAGCGTCAAACATCATGACTCCGAAATGCGCATGCAATTGAAATTCGTTAAGAATGAAAAGGGCGAAATGGGTCGCGCCATCAGGTTGCGCCCAGCACTCCGAGGCCCCATGGACCCAGGAGCATTCGCTCGGATCAGCGCGGCAGCCAAGCCAGCGATTACTCGCCAGCGCGGCAGCGCGCCGGAAGCAGTGGATCATTGCTCCCCTTGACATCAACATGGTTTTCTTGAAGGGGCTCACACTTCAAGAGCTCGCTGAAGAAACTTGTGAAAAAAGGAGTACGCCGCGTGCTCTACCCTGCCACCTGGGCCGGCATCAGCACTAGATGCGCCAAGAGCCTCCTCACTGAAACTCGGGAAGACTACGGGGGGCTCTGGATCCAGACTCACGTCTGACGTCTTACGACGAGGAGTTTGACGCGACCACCTACACCGCTAAGCATGTTGATGATATATACATGGCTGGTACTGAGGACACCATTGGCGAATTTGTCAAGCGCGTTGAAGATACATGCGGGGAATGGAAGCTCAACAAACATACATGTACCAACTGCGCCGCCAGGTGCGCTCAGGATAACGACGGCAATGCTACTCTTAACCAAGACGAGCATATATATATATATATATATATATATATATATATTTATACACATGTATATAAGCATATGCATACGTATAACAACGCCGTCCTATCCAGCACCGCGACCTCACAGGCGCAGATGCGGAGGCTAAGGCGCCGAAGATGGTCACTGGTATGTATGTGAGCCTCAGAGGCGCTCTGGCTTACGCCCTCAGCGCACAAGCATGGCTAATGGTGCATGTTGTATCATTGCAGCGTGCCCAGGAACCGACCAACATGCAAGTGCGACGGCTCTGCGCGATTGCCGGGAAGCGGCAGGCTTGCCCAGTGAGGGTCGCTTATATAGAGATAATACCAACGGGCGGGGTAGACCTGCACAGCGACTCTGGCTATCGTCGCTTCAACGGCGATGTCGACGATGAGGTCAAAGGCCACGGTATTCGCGGGGCAAACGTGCTAAGGCGTGGGCACACGATTGCTGGTAAGCCTGTCGTCCATTTTTTCGACGCGTACTGCAAGTCTCACCGCTAGGAGGTCCGTTTTAACTAGTCGGCTGAAGCGCTAGCAGCAGCTCATAACTTGGAAGACTGCTACCCCACGAATGTTACGCTACACGACCTCCACGCAGGGCCGCTGTCACCCACTCATTTCAAGAATATGATTGAGATGGGTGGCCTCAACATTAAGGTCACTCTGACCGTTGATGCGGAATCTGTATTCAAGTTTTTGTCAAGCAAAGACCTGAAGAAGCCGACTGAGTGCACCCTCCTGGGCCGCATCAGTTGGATGCGGCAGAAGATGGAACGCGGTATCGTGCATAACGTGCAGTGGTGACACCCGTGACATGACCGCAGATGGTCGCACCAAGGGGAGCATTGACCGAGATATGCTCTTACAGGTTATGGACGGAATGCAACCTTTCAAGCACGACTTGAAGCGACATGCTGCATACATGGCCGGCCAGCCGAAAACGTCTGAGCCGCCCGAGAAGTAATAAGATGCGGGGTAAACCTGCTGAGGTTTGAGCCCGCTGGCTGCTGCGTTCCCTTTGTAATGTAACTGTTTTGCCGAATCAGGCTGGACGCGGACTCGCGTTTCGTCCCCCCCCCGACTCTGAAGGAGCAAGGACAGAGGCGATAGTTAGCGAGCGTTTGTCCGCGGCCGTTCGGGCTCTAGCGCCCGCCCGCCTATATGACCGTGTCGCGCCGCGACACACCACTCGACATCGATACGGAAAGCAATCCTTTGAGTTGTCACCTTGCCGCTCACGCGGCCATCTCCTACCTCTTGTTCTATCGCTATTACGATACAACAGGGTTAGTCGGATGCTACGCCTAAGGCGTCGTATCTGGTTGGGCCTACCACTTCACTTTGAACTTACAGGCCCCCCCTGGTCGCCACGGCTGGGCGCGGCTGGAAAAGCTGGTCGGTTTCGGTACCCCGAGAGGGGCCCAGGGACAGACTTTAAACGCATTTGCGCTCGTCCGCCCCTCTTGACCGATTTTCTCGGGGTTCATCCAGCGCAGATCCCCCAGCCGCTCCCAGCCAAGGCCCGCTTTGTGGCGGCCCACTTGCGGAACCAGAGCACGTCCACCGAGCAGCGCGGCGCCTGGGTCGCCGCCAGGCGCGCCGCGGTCGGCGAGAGGCCCATGGACATGCACTTCCTGGCAGGAGACTGCGGGCGGAAGCATGTCCATATCCACGCCCTCGCGAGCCCGGCCCCTGGGGCGCGACCCAATTCAGAGGAGAGCGAGTTGAGAAAGTGGTGGTTGGCCTTCGGGCGGGGCTGCCCCTTCGTGGCTATTGTTGGGCGCGGCTCGGAAAATTGGTGCGTTTGGGCCCCAGGGGGGGTCCGTCTCAACTCGCCCTGCTAAGAATATCCACGGTCCCTGGGCCGTGACCCCACGGATGCGGGTTGTTTTTTCGCGGGTGCCCCGCGCGGAGCGTATCCATGCGACCGCGCCCCAGAGTCCAGATTGCGAGGTTGCGGGAATGGGTATGTTCGCCGCTCGTGAGGAGACGCGTGGAGCCACACGAGGGAGCTGGTGCGCCTCTCCGGGCTCGAGGGGCACGAGTTCGAGGCCTACTGCAGGAGGCTGTCGCTGGTGGAGGAGGTCTACAGTGACCGCGTTGCAAGGCGGCCGAAGCAGCCGTGGGGCGAGGACACGTACCGACGGGTCGAGTATTCCGTGGATTGGAAGGCCGGCACCTGGCGCGTATCTGAGGCTCCAGGCGTCGCTTAGCGTGCCGCTCCGACAGTTCTGGCCCACCGCGCCTCGGCGCGACACGCTGACCTCGTCCCGGTCCCCAGGCATCAACGTCCCGATGTCATCTCGATTTCTCGTCCCACGGAGGTCGGGGGCGGAAAAGAGGGGGGTGATGACTAGGGGGGGGTGGATATCATGGCGGGGGCCATGATATTTCCCCAGATCTCGCGGCGCCTCTTCTTGTTTCATTACGTCCCTGGCCCCCCCGCTGGGCCGCGCACATGCCGCCGGTCATGATTTTCACCCCCCCCTCTTGGACACCCCCCTCTTGGCCGCTCCCGAGGAGGGGAAGGACACGCTATCCGTTTGCAGAGTATGGCGTGTCGCCAGGGCTGCCGCCGCAGCACGCAGGGCAGAATATCCCGACCGTGTGTCAGACCCTCTGGGCGGTGCGCAGAAAACAAGGATTGCGAGGTGGGCGGCCTTCTGGTGATGATCGACGGTCGATGATCGGTGATCCGTGGCCCCTTCCCCTCAGTGCGGCGGCTGGCAGATGTTCCACTGACGGCATCCTGTCGCCTTAGCTGTTGGGCAGCAGTTGGTGGCAGCGGTCCGCTCAGGTAGAGGAGGGAGGAGGAGGGGGGAGGAGGAGGGAGGAGGGAGGAGGGAGGAGGGAGGAGGGAGGAGGGAGAGGGAGGAGGGAGGAGGGAGGAGGGAGGGAGGGGAGGAGGGAGGGAGGAGGGAGGAGGGAGGAGGAGGAGGTGGAGGGAGGAGGGAGGAGGGAGGAGGGAGGAGGAGCTTGGGGGTCTGTGGGGCGCTCTCTCTCTCTGGGCCTCTGTCGGCAGCGAAGCGTGCCGCGGGCGCCGCGGCGAACGGCGGGGAGCGCCGAGGCCCGTCCCGCGGCGGCCGCGCCGTCGGCCGCGGGCGCCCTCGAGGCGCGCCGCCGCCGCTTGCCTCCTCGCTGCCCGCCGCTGCCGCCGTCCTCGTCCCTGCCGTCGCGGTCTTCGCCGCCGTCGCCGCCGCCGTCGTCGTCGTCGCCGTCGTCGCGGTCGTCGTCGTCGCCGCCGCCGCCGTCGGATTGCAAGGGGGGGGGGAAGCGGGGGGGGGAGGAGGGCCGGCGGCGCCAAGGCGGGGCCCCGAGGACGAGGTGCCTCGAACAGAGCGAGTGATATCCTCGTGGCCCCTCCTTACCTCACCGAACGCGTCCCACTGTTCGCAAAATGCCTGCTCGCAAACGTCCGAACAGAAAGCACAGGTACGCGTCGATGTAGTGGATCATAGATCCCCCGGGGCGGATTCGCGCTGTCGCTCCCCGCCACCTTCGGAGAAGAGGCGGGGGGAGGAGGGGGGGAAGAGGGAGGGGGGAGAAGGGGACAGGACCAAGGAGGAGGAGGAGGAGGAGGAGGAGGAGGAGGAGGAGAGGAGAGGAGAGGAGGAGGAGGAGGAGGAGGAGGAGGAGGAGGAGGAGGAGGAGGAGGAGGAGGAGGAGGAGGAGGAGGAGGAGGAAGCGGAAACGGAGGAGGAGGAGGAGGAGGAGGAGGAGGAGGAGGAGGACTGGTCCCCGGCCGGGGCGCAGGCCGTCCAGCCCGATCTGGCGGGCCCGTTTGTGCCCGTGCTGCCAGTGCTCGGCACGAAGCTCCAGGCGCCGGGCGACGCCGACGACGCGGCGCTCCTCCTCGGCGGGCAGGGCTACGGACTCGACAGCGCGACGGCGCGCCTGCAGCAGCTGTGGGCTCGCCTCCAGGAGCTCCGGGAGAGTCTCTCCAATCAGGCGAGGGGGGCGCTCCTGACGACCTACGCGGGCAATGCTAGCCAACACTACGTCCAGCTCGCGCTGGCGACGCCGGACGAGGCCTTCCGCTACGACACGGCGCTCAAGGCCTGCTGGGAGCAGCTGCTGGACCGCCCGCTGGGGCCAGAGGCCTGCGAGCTGCTGGGGCTGCCGCGCAGGCTCGGAGGCGCGGGGGCCCAGTGGGCGACCACGAGGCGCGCCGCAGCTTTCTGGGCCGCCTGGGCGCACGCCGCCGACGAGGTGCGCCGCGACTTGGGCGCCGCTTCGCTCGCGGACGCGCTGGGCGCTCTCCCCCGGAGCGCAGTGGCGCTGGCAGAGGCGCGCGCAGAGCTGGCGCGCCAGGGCCCATAGCCCTTCCCCGCAGCCCCGCTCGCCGCGGCGCTCGGCTGGCCGACGAGGCAGAAGACGATGGTTGCGACCCCAGCAGCGAGTGCACCTGCGCAATCAAGCTGTCCTTCAGTCTGCCGGCGGGCCGGGATCCGGGGCGTACCTGCAATACCCTACGGAGGCAGCTTGCGCTCTTGATGACGTGGAGTGGGCCACTGGGACCCGCTGCCGCCTCCTGCTTCCGCGGCCAGAATGCTCTCGTGACGAGCTCTCGCGGGCGTCTGCGACCTGCTGCAACCAAACGGGCGCTGGGGCTCGCTGCCAGGCGCCCCTTGACGAAGACGGCTACCATGCGGCCACTTGCCAGCCCGGGGGAGGCGTCGTCCGGCGCCACGGCGGGTTGGCCAAGGCGGTGGGCAGCTTGGCGGCGCGGTGGGCGCACGACTGCCCGCTGCACGAACAGCGCGTGCCCACCTGGGACCGCTTTCGGCCCCGACGCCCCGTCGAAGGTGCCGGCCCCCCCGTCTTTGAGCAATCCATATTGGATGTCCAGTGCGATGACCTGGCCGGCAGGCGATGGGTGGACGTCACCGTGCGTCGCCCCGCGGCTGGGGACGCGCCCGCCGTTCGCGTCGCCGCCCAGAGGCCAGGCGAGGCTTCGCGCCGAGCAGAACGCGAGAAGCACGAACGCTATCCCAGCGAACGGCTGACCGCGGGGCGGCTCGGCGCGGAGGCGCGCCAGTGGCGGGTCAGCCACGTGCGCCAGCTGCCAGAGAAGGAGCAGCACGCCGAGCTGTCCCGCGCCTACAGCGCGGTCAGCTGCGCTGTCCAGCGCCACCTGGCGCGGCAGCTGGCGCCAGGCGGCGGGCCTGCGCAGAGGAGCAGGAGGAGGAGGAGGAGGAGGAGGAGGAGGAGGAGGAGGAGGAGGAGGAGGATCCGCACGCACAGGAGACGGGCCAGAAGCTACAATATTCATATATATATATATATATATGTATGCTATGAATGTGGTGCCACCTTCGATACGCAGTTTGCGTGGCACGGACATCGCACGAAGATGCATGGTACCCTTGGTGACATTTCACGGTATGCATACGATGGGTATTGCGCTGCATGTGACGTCAATTTCCACACGAGGAAGCGGTTGATAGATCATTTGAAATACCGACAGACAAAATGCATCGAGGTTCTGCGTGTGCTGGCGGAGCCGATGGACGATTCCAAGATGACGGAGCTCGACGACATCGATGCGAAGGAGCTTGCCACGCTCAAGGCCATGGGATATTCTGAATCGAAGGCTCTACGACCTCCCACTAAAGGACCGCGTTTCTGCCGTAACTACCGCAATCATGAGGACCGTAAGGTGTATATCCCACAGGTGATGATCGATGTGGACACAGTACACCACTTTGCGGAGATTCCCGTTCTCTCGTCTGTGAATAAGGAGACGCAGTTGGTCATCTTTTTCGGTTCTGAGATGTACGACACTTCTTGGATGTATTGTTTTCCTTCAAATGCACCGTTCAGTATTGTGAAGATTGACGTTCAGAAGTATGATACGGACTCCCTTGCCATGGACGGTCTGAATCACCCATTGGTTATGGACATTCTTGCGCGGCGCATCTTTGGTGTGATTGGACGACTGTATGGTTATGCCGACATGTGGTTGTGGGGTCACTCTGATATGCATGGTGTGGCACGGAAGCGTCAATCACGGGCGAGTTCTCTTTTTTTCGACCCTTGGTCTATGTATACCATGTTTGTGTTAGGTCTCAGATTCCTATGTACGTGGGTACTGATATGGTCAGAATTCCCACTGGAGATGCTGGGCACAGTGTTCATAGAGTTCTTGAATATGGATCTGCGGGTGCCCATTCCATGGACTACGACAGATGGCACGACAGATGGCACTTGCTGGTCGGCGCGGCCGATTGACGTGTACTATGTCGACCTTGTGAGCGCGTGTCGTGGCCCAAGGGGGGTGGATTCAGCCCACAAGCTCGCACCCCCCTGGGCTAAACGGCAAGGGTTGGGGCTCCCGACGCTGAAGCTGATGGGCAAGCGGCAGCTGCCCGAAAAGGCCGTCTAGGGCCGTTGAGGCTTTCGAGGCCGGTGTGGTGAGCCCCCCAGGGTGGATCCCCACCTGGGGGGCTCGTCGTCGTGTCGATGTCGACGATGCCGACGTTGCGATGACGACGGAGGTGTAGGAGGATCACGTGGTGTCAGGTTGGTCGACGTCGACACAACCTCGCGCGCGGCCAGAGCTCGGGCGTGCGCGGCCGTGGAGATGCTGCGAGGCGGGACAGGCCGCCTCTTTCGGTGCGAGCGCAGCAGCAGCAGGAGGAGGAGGAGGAGGAGGAGGGCGAGGAGGAGGAGGAGGAGGGCGAGGAGGAGGAGGAGGGCGAGGAGGAGGAGGAGGGCGAGGAGGAGGAGGGCGAGGAGGAGGGCGAGGAGGAGGAGGAGCAGGAGGAGGAGGAGGAGGAGGAGGAGGGCGAGGAGGAGGGGGACGACGACGACGACGACGGCGCCAAAGAGGAAGAGGGCGAGG